TCTCTCCACAGGTCCTGCCAGGAGCCTGCTCCAGCACAGGCTTCCCATGGGGCCACAGCCTCCTTTGGGCACCCACCTGCTCCCCCAGGCTGCAGGGGGGTGTCTGCTCCCCCATGGGCCTCTATGGGCTGCACCAGGGGCTGCAGTGGAATCTCTGCTCCCATGCCTGCAGCACCTCCCCCGCTCCTGCTGCACTGACCTTGGTGTCTGCAAGGCTGTTTACTCTCACATCTTCTCACTTCTCTCCCTCCAGCTACTGTTCCGCAGCAGGGTTGGGTTTTTTCCTTCTTAACTATGGAGCCAACTGGCATTGGCTCTGTTGGACACATGGGAAGCTTCTGGCAGCTTCTCACAGAAGCCACCCCTGTAGCCCCCCTGCTACCAAAACCTTGCCATACAAACCCAACACAGACATAAATTACCGATGCTTTGCTTTACTTCCTACCTTAAATATACTTCAAAATTTGTCACGACTCCCCGTAAATAACCACCTTCAATGACTAATTTTTCAAGGAAAAGTTCTCTTCCATTGTTGGTGCAGTAACCTTCCAGCACTGATGGCCTTCTACAGGAGCAGTCTTTTGTTTTAATGACTTCAAAAATCTCTTAACATCCTTTACCCAAGATTTTTATGAGCAAGTAGCTCTCTGCTCTGGGAATGTCATCTCCATTACTAACTGAAAAAAGTAATGCTTATGTATCCCACACCAACACTGAAACATAATCAAATAAGGAATACTGGTTAGATATTAGACACTGAGCACAGTAAGAGAGACACACTGAATCTTCAATAATTGTCAGAAGAACATAGCTTACTGAAAACAGATCCTGTTTCACAGGAACATAAAATTCTAGTTTATAATTTAGCACTAAAGAGGAAGAGGAAACGCAGCCTAACGTACGTTCCACTGATAAGGCACCCTACGTTCTTACAGCTTGTAAAGGCATTACCCTGAAAGAAACACATTTTGTATGCTCATGCAGTACCTTCCGCCATACAAACGTATGATCAACTGCCATTCATGGTACATTATCAGCATCCTACTTACCAGCGCCTACAAGGTGACTGTACATTAGATTGAACAAACTCCCTGAATTTGTGATTTTCTAGTTATGCATCCCGACTTAGCAAGTGGGGGCAACTTGTACCTCACCCATTACAAGACCCCTCTGCAATATATTTGCCCAAATCAGTGCACTCAAACTCCTACAGAAATTATCCAACAGCATGAGCCTGCTTGGAAAAAAAGTCTGCCTTGCTGTGAAAGAAGACATTACCCCACCAGAACTATCACCCTCGTGGCTTTCTTTTTTTTTAATTTACTTTTTAATGGAAGCAAAAACCCCTGTCATCTCACCTACTCCTCTTTTAATAAGGAATGACTGCCGTGACTACCCCCATCTAGAACCACCATTCACTGCCAGCACCTCTGCTCTCCTCGTGTGCTTAGAGAACAACTGATTAGCACTTTGCATAATTAACCTGATTAGCACTGTGCATAATCAAACTGATTAGCACTTTGCATAATTAAAAAGAAATAATAATAATAACAATAATAAGCAGTAGGTAATAGCAAAAGCTGCTAGTCCCAATGCCTGTTCGTTAGCTCTAGGATTAGTTTAGTGCGGCATATTTTATTTCTCAAAACTATTTTTTTAAAGATGCAAAAGCTCCTGAGAAATACAAGTTAAAAAATTCTCATTTACTTTCAAGATCACTAGTGAAAATATTGGTTGTTCCGCTATTACAACTTAGGATTCCTTGTGCCTCCCTCTGCTGCAGCTGAAGACATTTAACAGGACGACGCCTGACCAGACAGACCACAGGTCTGATTCCCACATCTGTCTACAATACAGCTTTTGGATTTGTTATCACAGGATACAGAAGCCTCACAATCTTTAATGCATGTATCCTCGCATCACACTTCGAGGGTAGGAAAGCTGTATTATCGTTCTGGTCAAGATGGGTGAGGTAGTAAGATGCATATCCTCAAAAGTACGTAGGCACTGAATTCTCTGCTGCCCTGAACAATGACTCCAGACCACAGGAAGGCTGGAGAGGAACACGGAATTAATCAGATTCCTGCCCCTAAGCCTGCATCACTCTTCCCCCATTTAAGTGTCATCCTTGTCTCTATGTATGGTTTGCATCCTGCTCAACAATGTGAGACAGAAGATATTTCCTTTGACTGCTAGCCTGTCCCATCTCCAGTGTAAATCTCCCAATTAGGGTTTCAGGATTAACCACTACCTCCCAAAACTTGAACAATCCGTGTAGCTACACCTAGCTAGATTGCAAACTGTGCGAAAACATCAGTGTTAAATATCTGCATCACTAGTGACTTGGGTCCCTTAGGATATTCAACGCCAGCCAGCCTAGAAGAGCAGTGCCCCAGGTGAGTGGGTAAACCACTAACATTTTCTGTTTACGAATGCGGCCTCATCCCTCCTAGTCACCACTACACCCTGTGTTTCTCCTCACTTTATTAACCTGATCTCTCTCTAGCATCCTTATATTATAGCTCAGATTTTCCTTGCATTCCTCACAGAGCAATCTTCACAGAATCACAGAATGGCAAGGGTTGGAAGGGACCTTGGGAGATCATCTAGTCCAACCCTCCTGGTAAAGCAGGTTCACCTGGAGCAGGTTGCACAGGACATCATCCAGGTGGGCTTTGAATATGTCCAGAGGAGACTCCACAACCCCCCTCAGCCTTACATCTTCTGTTACACCTTCAAGAGCACCTGAAATATTCACTGCCAACCTTCCACCATCTCCTTATAATGACCCTGCCTACATTTCCCACTGGGTAGCAGACACACGTTGTGGCTTCTCTGCTGACTGCTTAGGCCAGTATGATTGGGACACTGGGCAAATGGGGAGTCAGATCGTTCCGAGTGATCAGCCTGCCTGCCCTGCAGCTGCCCAGACAGGAATTGCACGCGGCCCAGATGCAGCACTTTGCATGGACCTGTCCTAGAACAGCAACAAGTGTCCCCACTGTGCTAGAGTTTCTCTCATAAACGCGCTCTCATAAAATAAGCCAACAAGAAACCATGGGGGGAACAAGCAAAAAAAGAGAATCTTACCGTAATTAACTGGAAACGTATTACCCATGCACAGAGGCCTCTCTATCACCCCAAGCAAAAGAACCCATACGAACTGCAAAGGGTGCAGAGCTAGTCACTCATTTCACAAGTTGTTTAGTTGCAGAAGAAAACTGTTGCTGTAGAGATTTTTCAAGTCCAAATGTTCCTGGGGAAGGTAGTTCCAGTAATTCTGGGAAGAAAGCCAATTCCTTGGCTTTATATGTAAATATTTAAACAATATTATTTTTATATACATATATTTTATACACATATACATATACTTCTTCAGACTTCCAGACTTGCAAAACTGCAATGGTAAAAATATGCTGTTTTATGTACAGCTATCAGCCCACTTGCCTGAACCATGATAACTGACCGTCAGAAACAAAATACAAGAATGGCTTCAAAATAATTGAGCCATGTCATCTATGTATACTAATCCACCCAAACTGAGCTGAAAGGAGCGGGACTACAGATTCTAAAGGAGAGAGATTAAGTCTTAAATTTTATCTCCTTAGAAGTGGCAAGAATATAAAGTTCATCAATATTAAATCTTTCAGAGCCTAGATAGATGCGGAGTGCTCCATCCACAGGTGTGGAAACTCCAGCTTTGGACGATGCAAAGCTTCACATTCCTGGTATCTCAGCGCTCTGACACCTGACAGTAAAGCTGTGACTTCATCGTGTTTAAAAGGGTCACTGCTGCTTCAGGCTTAAATCAGGTACATACCTCAAAAGGGATTGCCTGGTAGAAAAGGCAAGCAAAAGAATGGAAACATATCTGGCACTGAGATCTAGTGAATAAGTAAAATGAGAAGAAAAAAAAAGCTTCAGACTTGTTGAGGAGGGGGTTGATGAAATGGAGGAGGATGATTTAGTGAGCAGAAGGTATCCAGTCAGAGCGTATGATGAATAAATCAATCCATGAAAATAAAAATTACCACATGGACTCCACCTGTACGTACACAGTAAGCAAAACCCACCCCCTAATACAAGGTACATGTGTGTAAGTTAATAGGTATACGATTTAAAAAAAAATCAAATTTATGAATACAGTATTTACATGTCTGTTCAAGAATATGTATAGCACAGCCAGTGTGAGTTTTAAAAGATCACAGAAGTGTACATACATATACATTTAAAAAGGTGCAGAAAAAAAGGACCAAGAGTAGAGCAAGTCTTCCAGAAAATATTTTAATGGCTTTATAAAAAGCCCTCACCCAAAGTTTGAGGGGTTTTTGCAATCTTACATTTTTCTATTGCAAAATACACCTGCTTTCTTTTCTTTCTTTTTTTCCCCCCTAAACTAAATATTTCTTCCATCTAATGACTCTCTTTATTAGACAGCATCTAATTTGCATACATTTACATACAATTTAACTGCTAGCTTGTGAGAACAAAGAAATGGTTCTGTATTGTACTGAAGGACAATACTCAGAAAAGGAAGGTATAAAAACCAGCTAGCTCGGTGGCTGTGTATTCTCTTTGTTTCAAAAATACCAGGATTTTTAAACACACCACTTAAAGGGTGAAAAAGATTATTTCATCAAACAATGAAAAAAGATACAGTGCAGCTCCCTTTTAACACATTCTCTCTCTGGCCTGGTTAATGGGATTTAAGGGTCCAAGATTTCTTTGCTTTCTTCTGTTTCCTTTATTAGAACTGATGGATTTAATTCTGTCACATATTTTACTTCATATTTTATTCCTATAACAATCTATGCTGAAGTTCAGCTCCAATGCTAATTCAACACTATCTTCCCTTCCTTGCCGTCAGCCTGGAATACAACTGAATGATCTTTGATGGGCATGAAGTACTCTGCCCTCAATGCCCAGTGCTAATGGATTTTAGAGAGAGTCTGCCAGAATTTTACCTTGTGGCAACAAGTCTAGAGATAATGCAAACTTACCATGTAGCTGACTGGGAATCAACAGGAAGGGAAGCAGGGCTGAGCTCCGCTTGTGAGAACAGGGAGGGACTGTGGTCAGAGTAAACGCAGGATGTAAAGGATGTGTCAAGCCCTCTAGTTCCCTAGAAGAAGAGAAGAAAAGGATGACATGAAGCAAAAACTTTTAGAATCAGTTGGCAAAAACTCCAGTGCGGGCCCTACCAAAAGCAGGATACAGCAGCAAAGGGTTCTTCTCCAAAGGCTTTGCAGCAGGAGTACCAGAGGACAGCTGCAAATCTAATCCATGTGGGCTTGACATAAAAATCTTACAGGAAAAAAAAGCATGTTTTCTTTTTTTTTCCCCCGTCTGATTTGCTTCTAATGACATATAGCAACCAAACCTCATAAAAGAAATTAATCAAGCCTTCATATCATTTTCCCTTTTTCCAGGATGGTGTGTGATCTTCAGAGTTTCTGATGCGTACCAAAACGCAGGTTTTAGCAAACAGTGGAGAAAGTAAATTCCAAAGCCAAAGTCCATTTAACTTTTACATCCTATGCTCTCAGCTATATCTCGCTGAAACCACTGGGTTGTTATTCCCAGAATCTTGAGTGGCTGCGCTATCATGCAAGCTGATTTCAATTACCCCTGCCACAATCCCACACTTCCCTCGCCTCTTTTCTCTCCTGGCCACATGTCCCTGAGCCCATCCTTGAGCCAGGACTGGATAACTGTATGGTTCAGGGAGCTTTCAGCTGAACAAAAAATTCTTTTCCACGTGTTTTCAGCCAAATCAACCCTCAGTCGCAGCTCAACATCCAGGCATGAAACACAGGGGTTAGAGCTAAGGAGGCAGCAGAACCGTACAAATGCAGGGACAGCAACAGAGCGGCCTCAACGTCAATCACTTTAAGCTGCTGTAGACCTACATCTTGAGATGTCCAGGGCTGCTTTGGTATGTGACGTGGAAGAAAGGCTCCTATCACATAGATGGAAGCCAAACCAAACATAGTGTTGTGGTTAGGCAGCTAAACACCACACAGCCAATTGCTCACTCCCCCCCCCGTGGGATCCAGGGGGGTGGGGGAGAGAAAGGGGGGGGAAAAAAAAAAAAAAAAAAAAAAAGTAAAACTCATGGGTTGAGATAAAGACAATTTGATAGGACAGAAACAAAAGGGAAAATAATACCAATGACAAAAGAACATACAGAACAAGTGATGCGCAATGCAATTGCTCACCACCCGCCAAATGATACCCAGACAGTTCCTGAGCAGTGGACCCCCAGCCAGCTTTTCCCCTAGTTTATATACTGAGCATGACATCATATGGTCTGGAATACCCCTTTGGTCAGTTGGGGTCAGCTGTCCCAGCCGCGTCCCCTCCCAACTTCTTGTGCACCCCCAGCCTGCTTGCTGGTGGGGCAGTGTGAAAAGCAGAAAAGGCCTTGACTCTGTACACAGCAGTAACGAAAACATCCCTGTGTTATCAACAGCATTCTCACCCTATATCCAAAATGCAATGCTATACCAGCTACTATGAAGAAAATTAACTCTACCCCAGCCAAAACCAGGACACATGGCTTTATAGGTAAAAAAGCCACCACCTCACATGCTAACCTGAAATAAACTGGCAGGCTATGCAGATCATACAGAACAAATGCAGTCTGCTTCTGATGAAAAATAGCTTGAGATAATGGTGCACTGCTACAATCTGCACCAGGGGCAATTTCCAAGTGGCAGGTTGAATTAGCCTCAAGTGACGTGCATTACAGTAACGCTTCCCTGAGGCAATAAGGCAAGGCCCCACATTCAGAAGGAAAGAATTGAGCTTTCTTGCCAAAGGCAAACGATAAAGTGCATGATTAAGAACTACTGTTACCAGGACATCCAGAAGCTCCTGAGAAAATTTTTCAAGGACTTCAGAAAATACATTTGGAAATAAAGAGCAGGAATTTTCTTTTACATCTCTACAGTTACAATACTAAGCATCTCTTCTGCTGCTTTCCCAGAGCACAAGCATTAATTCCGTCCTGATTGGAAACTAATCTTTCTAACCATCAGCATTTCTAAAGTCACTCTGCTCAAACAGTTGTACAGGAGGTTGTGGGATATCGGTCTGGATTTCAGCTGAATACTGAAGACACTTCCTTTAGCTTGCCTGCTCTAGGGGAAACAAAAACTGGAACATTTTAAACCCTACATGAGAGAGATCCCATGGCAGTAAGGAATCATCCAACACCATTATCTACAATTTCTTCAGGAGGAGGAGTCACTAAGGAACAGCTTCACTAGCCAGTTAGCACCCACAGATGATTCCTCATCTTTGGAAGTTACAGTAACTGAGAGAACTAAAAGAATCACTGTGGACACGTGGTCCATTTTCATCACCTCAACAAGCAACACCAGCCTTTTCAGTATTGCAGTCAGGCCTTTCGTACCCAACTTACAACCAGACCCCAAGGGCAGAATACCAGATCAGACATAAGATTTGGAGGCTTTTTTTCCTACAACAATAATGAAATAATGCTTTCATACATAGCATTGCATACCAGCATGCATGACTCTGAAGCAACGGAATCCACACAACTACTTGTTTTCACTCCAGTCTTACATAAGCTCTAAAGATGGCTACAGTTATTCCATCAACCGTGGGCAGCTGCACAGGTTGTTACACAAATCTATACACGTTCAAGTTATGTGACCCCTATACAGTAGGCTTGGCTGGTTTCCCCAACAGGAGACTTCCATTTTCTTTCAACTGCCTTTAAGCTACGGCCATTATCAATACAACCCACTCGTGCATATATTCTTGCCGTAGCATCACTGAATACTTTTCTCTGTAAAATAACTGTCCATCGGAAAACACGCATACATCCGTACCTACACACCAACATATATATACACATATACACACACACACATAATATACTCTGGCAAATACCTGTTATTAATATCCAATTATGACAGTATCATTGGCCCTTCATCACAATTGTTTGTTTAAATTAATTTTATTCTTTCCAGGTTACAACAGGTGCTTATAACAGTTCTGATGGTCTTTAAAATGAGGATAATCTAAGAATTTTAAATTATGCCAATATTTGAATACTTTCTATTCAAGTACTCTTGATTGTTTTAGAAGTGTATTACTACAACCTCAGCCTCAAATTTCATTGTCACTTTAACAATTCTTAGAGCTAAAAGTAGGTTAAGCAAATTGTTCACCAGATTTTTCCCTTGCTTTTCTTTTGTTCTTGTATAGTCCACTGAAGCTGAGATATGAAAATGTAAAAGTTGGTGTAATAAGCAAAAGAATAATTCAGTGGAAAGTAGCTCCTTTTGCACCTAATTAAATTTTGGCATTTATGAAGTTCCACATTTTGTACATAGCTGTCTCATCACATTTTGTGTTAGGCATTATGGGTGGGATTATCCAAAGGAACAAGGGTATGATTCTCTATCCACTCAAATCATGGTATTGTAATTCAAGTCGAATCCACCAGTACCACATTCGGGCCATCCTCAAATGCTTTTGAAAATCCTCCCCCTTTCCAACCTACTCAGAAAGCGAGCAGAAACAAATAAAACTTCACCACCTTGTGTCTGGGAAGCAACATCTACGAGTTGCAGCTTGTGCAGTTCTGCCAAGATGCTGAGAATTCCCTTTTAAACACAAACAATATTTCTGAAGCTAGTAAATTCTTTCAAAAATTCACTTTGATTTGATAAATTATATTAAATACAATTTGCCCCAGCAGCCTTTTAAAACATGACAGCTAGAGCACGAGTAGATCATTTTACATACAAAAGTAAAATCTACCCAGTTGTGTATACAGCCTAGATTATGTATGCAGGCCCACACTCCCCGAGATAACAAAATTACCCGGCTTGCACTCCAAGCCAGTCAGAGACCGTGTAGTTGCAGATAGCAAAGTCCAGCCCGAGCCAATCAGTCCTGCTAAGCAGCTGCTATCTCAGTTGCTTATTAGTTCACCAGTACACTAGCCACGACCAAAGGCTTCAGATGGGCTTACTGTATGCACAGAACAAATTGCCTCTGCTTTCAAAATATGGCAGAAATGCAACCATGAATGAATACTATCAAAGGGTGGAGGGAGGAGAGAAATCTATTTTAAATTTTCTCAAAACATTATTTTTTTAACACTGAAGTGAAAATCCTTAATCTTGAATACCATATAACAACAGAATCATGCTGTTTGTTGGCAGAGTGCTAAGTTTCATCTTCAGCAGAAAAAAAAAATTGTATAATACTTTTTCCTGATTTAGATGGGTTTTAGGTCAACCTTAGCTACATACAAATGAATGTTTTGTTCAAATTACAGGGTAATTTTAATTAGGACACCCTGTTAGACATCCTGTTGTTCTATTTAATGGACTTTCTCAATTATGAGAAGAAACACCTCCCCACCCGTCTGTGACTTAGAAGTTAAAGTAAAAATTATGCTGAATAAATATACAGCGATAAAAATTATTTATTCTGCATTAGATCTTTTTATTTCTGTTAATCTTTATTTGGCAACTTTTGTATCAAAAGGGCAGAGTTCAGAATTCCACACCCATTAAACACCTGTTTAAAAACCACTTGAAGCACTGGAACCAGCCAAATATGTCCCAATTAAGCAGAAACGTTGGCACTGCTGTCCCGAGTATGGAACACCCATTGCCATTTGCTCTCATTAGGTTAAACAGGTTTCTTGGGACATAGCTGAATTCCTGATTATGTGCATTGCAAATGGATGGAGAACACCAGAACAATAAAATTTAATTCAGCGTAGCCTTCTGTCCAGTTGTCGAGCACAGAATTTTGGGAAAAGTGAAAACTGAAGCTTCAGGAGGTGGCCAGGAATTATGCGCACCACACGAGACAAGTTACACTTCTTTCAAGAAATTGCCTGGCTGACCTCACGAAAAGAACTGGGCTGGGATTTCTTCTTGAAAATGCTCCAAGATTAAGAGCCGATTCCCTTTTCCTTAGCATCTCCTCCTCTGTACTTTATATTAGCTTGATTCCCTTACACAGTTTTATTTGTTAGTTATAAGCATGATATGGTATCTTTTATATTCACTTTAGTGTTAATCTGGTCACCCATTTCTTGATTTTGTACATTTCTGAATTCAGTGATGG